TGTTCCAAACAATTCTTTAGAGTACTTCCTGTGGTAGATGAAAAGATACATAGAAAAAAAGAATTTCGCGATATAATAATTTTATCACTAAATTGATTTGTTGGCTTTATATAAAAATCCCGTGAAATCATAACGGTAAGTTACGACACTATAAAAGAAGTATTAAAGCATTTATTGTCAATAACTTATATTTTAACGACAATCCATAAAAAGGTGTTTGGGTGTCTGCGAAATGAAATATGTCCAATCTCTATAGTTCACACTACGTGACAATTTTACAAATTTATCCCTTTGTTCGCACGAAATAAAATCCTTGCATATAGTAAATTCACTAAAATTATCTTATATTATATATATAATTCTCGTGTCACAATTTTCATTCCCATACTCCTCCGAAACCTCTTGACCGATTCTCATGAAATTTTGTGAACATATTGAGTAGGTCTGAGAGTTGGCCAACGTCTATTTTTAATCCTGCGCGAACGGAGTCACGGGCGACAGCTAGTAGTATAAATTTTTTTACTAATATTGACTAATAGAGAGTGTCAGTGGCTCAGTGTTTAAGCACTTGACTTGTAATCTACAGGTCCAGGGTTTAAATCCCGCTATGTACTAATGTGTTTTTCGATTACCGATTTACATATGTACATTTATCTATCGCCCTTATGGTCAAGATACTATCTTAGAAATTCAAAGATATGTGTGAAGTCAACCATACCGCAGTGGGCCAGTGTGGTTGACTATGGCCTAGCCACCCCTAACTTAGGGTAGGTTCCGAGTCCCTCAGTGAGGACGTATAGTGCGCTAACGATGAATTACTGACTATATTTTGTAGTAATCTAAGATTGAACTAAAGAAAAACAATATGATTAAAAAAAATCTCAGTCAGATAAACACTTTTTAGAATTGATTGAATACTGCAGCAATACCTTACATATTTTGCTTTCTCTGCATGATCTTTGTAAATCCGATGAAAAAATCTATTTTAAACTATCGAAATACTTTAATAACTTGGTTATGCGTAAGTACTCAATATTAAAGAACAATTAAGGGACGAAATAACTTTTTTCTATAAAAAACAAATATAACAATATGTTTTTGAACAGATGTTCCGACAGAGGGACACAATAAGAGAGCTTTTGTTAGTATGCGTAAAGAAAAGATCGAAAACGCAGATGTCAGTTTACTCTGTCTGACGACAACGACGAGGGCGGTTTCAATAGACGAGGGAACAAAACTCTTCGAGTACTTTTTGTTATTCAAAAACAACTACACCATTTGATATCAATTCCGTCTTTTAGCATGATGAGTTGAACTCAAATTGAATTGAAAACTTTTATTATTATTAGGAAAGTCCATGAGTTTTATTTCAGAACATATTTGCTTTTAAACGTGACATGATTAAGGGGGTGACGACTGAGATGCCGGTATATAGATTGATTTTGAAGAAACCTGGTGCGTCGACCAACGTAAGTGGGAAAAGGACAGGGATATGATGAAATTGAATGCGTCTCTTTCATTTATTTACGAATTGTATTACGTGTAAACACATCAATAAACTACAAATAAATGTTATTTTCTTGCGTAGCAGCTACGTAGATTGTGTAGAGTAAAGTAAGTCAAATTTTCTCGACCGCATTAGCTATAAAAGAAATCTACGAAAAAAAATGGTAACCAATCTAAATACATGTCGCCGTGCTGTTTAGTGGAGCAAAAATCTTATCGTAGCATCCTTCCTATAAAGACCCCACAAACTCTATGAGTTGCTATGCGACTCATTGAAAAAAGTTCGTGTAAAGCTTTGTTATGTTATGTAGACTTGACTCAGCTCTATGATATGAATTTAAAAACTTGGCTATGCACTATTACAGTTCGTTGTTGATAATTTGGTAAACAAAGCTAAGTGCTAACTAGTGTAGCTTCTTTTTTAGTAGTAAATAAACAAAATTAAACTAATTTCACTTAACATTATGCTGGACTGCAACTATCATGCAAACTTAATAACTTAGTTAATTTAGGTTAATAAAAATTATACGAACATTTGAACTTCTCATTAATGCGTATCTTTTCTGGAATATTCATATTCGCAGAATTTATCAAGTATCAATAAATAACATTGTAATAAAACTTTGATCAAACCCCTCGATAAATTTACGACTTGTACGAGACCAGAAATAAGGATCAAAACGCATAAGTCGGCTACACTCGTGAGCTTTATTAGAGAATCAACGTAGCCGAAGTAATGTAGACCGCACGTGTGAATTTCATTCGTCCATCCTCGTAAATAAATTCAACATCGGCTTTATTTGCAATTCTAATGGTGCTTTTGATCGGGGAAAACTTTAAGTAAAAAATATCTTTATAATATGTTACTTAGGTAGATTGTAATTAAATAGTTACACTATAATATTGGGAATAAGGTTTAATTTTAATAATACCTAGGTTTTCATTAAAACTACAAAGTACTCTTTGCTAAGCAAGCTTGAACTATGTTGGAACGTTTTGAAATTCTTCCATTCCGTTAATTGATCTGCAAATATTTCAAATATATTTAAGACTCTTCATGTAAAATATATAAATTTAGGTGTGAAATTTAGATAAAACAAAAAAAATATAGGTAAATTTAATTTACATCGATTATTTTGTTTAAATTCTACAAAATACAATTGTTAGAAAACTAACCTTCTTTATATAATTCATCATACGTAAAATTATCAGACTCTTATAAAAAGTGTTTGATAATAAAACGTAAGTAACAAAAAGAGTACATTAAACGAGTACAGGGGCGTTAACAGAACCCCGCGGGTTGGTAATCAATTGCAAAATTGAATAACAGCGGTTTTACATTAACGGAATCACTCACACAGACAACTAAATAGGCCTCAGCTGAATTACTTGATGTAACCTATATTTTATGTTCTCGTACTAAATACTGAATGTCTACGCTTTTAATATACCCTAGAAACATACCTAATAATATATACATATTTTTATTTTAAATATTTAGTAGGTCATTGTTTAGTATAGAAACTGATGTTTAATGAGTGATCCAAAAAAGTATTTTGAAGTAATAAAACTTAACGTAATGCTTTTTATTTTGCAAACTTCGTTTTATAAGTAATAGGCTTAATTCTATCTTGCAATTTTTTCCTTTTTAATTCTCCTCTTTATACATCTTATTTAACAGTTTTCGATTAGGTCTAACATAAAGTTAGTCTTGCCTATTATTGTTGTCATATTCTTCAAAATATATTATATGGTGCTTGCTTCGATGGGGGCATTGCTACGCCCACAGACCTATGAAAAATAACTTCTACTCTTTATGACTACGTTTTAGAAAAACATTTTAAAAAGACAAAATAACTCACTAACTCTGATTGATGGATGTAATAATTTGAAAAGGAGAATTGTTAACAAAAGTTTAAATTGAAAAATTTCGACATAAATCCTTCCTTTCTCCTTTTCGGTTAAATTTACATACCTAATCCCGAAATTAATTAGGATTTGAAGACATCCCTTTTCATGCTTGGCTCGCTTTAAAAATCCCTTCGAATATTAAATAAATCCTTCCCATTCACTTGAATAAATTTATTTAATTTGACAAATTCTGGCGATTTTAATGCGAATTGTGGTTTAACTAACTTTATAAAATCTTTCATATATTTATAACATCTAATAAAAACAGATAAAAAATTACGAGTGGTCATTTTGTGAGTCTAAATGTGACGGTTAGACTTTTTTTAAATTTAAATTAATTTTTAATAATTAAACATTCCTAATATAAAATAGAATAAATGGAAAGTAGTAAAGGAACCTAACACAATACTCTTGTGAGGAATTATGTCCATTATTTCATTCACATTTCGAATGCATACGGACCCTTACGAGTATAAAAGCGGTTAGGACCTAAACAAACTGCTTAAATGTCGGAGGAAGAGCAAATATTTACACGCGGTCAGTAGCCGTATCTCTGAAATGCAAACGTTAAGCAAAATTCCTTTCTATTTATATAATCAGTGCAATATATAACCTTTTTTTTAAAAATTATTAAACAACGACTAAAGTCACGTTTTGCAGACACCGGCCAAGGCAGTAGGAAGTCAAGTCACGTTGCTTCTTTCATTTAAATAGGAATCATAACTAAACGTCATTACACAATGGTGTAAACTTTGTTTGCTATTAGATACTGGCAATTGCTCGCGACTTCGTTCTCACGGAATTCAAAAATATAGTAATAAATATATTTTTGTCTTGTCTTGTCACCTGGGCATAGTGTAGCTTGTTAAGCTAAAGCTGTTATAATGCTAACAACATGAAAGAATATTTCGAATCTGTTCAGTAGTTTTTGAGCATGTTCAATGCAAACAAACATACAAACAAATAATTCCTCTTTGTAGTATTAGTAAAGGAAAATGTGATAAAATTACTCTAATTCCTGTGCGGTAAAATATTGCTTAAATCGACCCAGAGTCTTCGAGCTCCAATTGTTATAAGCGACTACCATATTTATTCAATATATACTTATAACCTAAAAAAAATATTCAATTTCTTAAGACTACTCGTAGAAGCGTTGTTAATCACTCCTGTTTTTTACATTTATTCATTTTTCTCTCTCAGCTTTTATCTCAGCATCCGTTCATAGCATTATTCCATTCTTATTATCTACCTGTAGAACATCTCATCGCGTTTCCAGTCTTAAAAAGATTTAATGGCTTTGTTCAATTAGCGAAAACGAGAGACGATAATCGTAACACCGCTGAGCAACGTGTTCAAAATTAATCGTCGAATTTTTACAGCCTAGCTGTTGATTGCGATTGTTTTCGGGTAAAATAAATAATCGTAATTAATACTTAAAATATATTTTGTTATTATATAAATATAGTTTGAAACATTAACGCATATGAGAATAATATGTTGATACATTATAAAAATAATAAACATGCTTAATTTAAATTCAAAACGCGGCAACACTGCCCACTTATAAAACGGAAAAAGCTAACCTTAACGGTGCGAAGCGCGCCATGAGCCGCATCCTCGGCCCATACTTTGACGCCATCTCGTTCGTACTCCAGGTTCCAGCCGTCTTCGGAAGCAAGGAGCTGCTTCAGGGTCTCGAAGTCAGAGTCGTCAGCCACGCGAGCTTCGCCCCGCGCCCAGCCCGCGCCTCCCATTCGCTCGCGGACATCACAACCAACTGCAGGGCTACACAACCGCGCCAACAGTCGATGTTCAGCGCATGCGCGGGAACGACCACCGCCATCTTTTTTTGGGTTACGCGGTTAAACGAAATGGATGATTTATTGCTTTCATAATTCACATTTTTATAAAGTAGCTTTTTTTAAATTTAAATAAAATGATCGTAAAGAAGTTTTTACGTTTTTTTTTTTTAAATTGAGTATTAATGAGATAGACAAGGAGTAAGGTCTAGAATAATTAATAAAAAAGGCTATTTGGGAAAATTTAATTTTTAATTTAATTTTTAATGTAATAAAATATGGCTGTAATGGTTTTGACCTAATATTACGAACTATACGGAACCAAATATTTTGAGCACGTTTCACGTTTGACGGAATGTGCTTTGAAAAGCACAAAGTGTTGACGTAGTAAGTGGGCTTAAGTAACTCTACGGCGTAGCCTCGCTACAGCACAGGTGTGTCTGCGGATTCGAGTGGTTATTACTAATCGCAAAGAAATATAACTCAACTCAAGTATATGTCATATAAGATAGAATATTCGCTAAAATAAGCGTTATAGTTATTTATTTATAATAGTATATGTAAAGGTTATAAAAATAAAATGTAATAATTCAGCTACAAATCTTGCTATTATTATAAATGCAAAGGTTTTATGGATGAATGTTTGTTTGAAAGTATCTTCATAACGGCTGCATGGGTCTCGCTAATTGACACAGATGTAGAACATAGTCTGGAAGAACACGTAGGCTCACTACGTTCTTCATCACTCATTAAGTTCTTTGTCGCCAGTCGCGGCGACATATAGTTCTTTATATTTCTTAAATGTATTGAACGACTTCATTTGTAAATTACATTTGTCCTGCCTACGAATGAGTCTTTGGCAAACATATTTATGTAGATCAAATTAATTACGTCATAAAGTTACCATACTTTACAACATTTACTATTAGGAAATAAGTTAATTTAGTATCTTTTATATTCATCGTACAGAAAAAAAAAGTTTAAAATACTTTCCTATCGAGATTTCATCTTATTCATATTTTCTTCTGGCAAATGTTAGACTAATAGAAAAGATGTTTTATAGGGAATGAAGGGATTGCGAGCTATGACGTAATGCGGACGTATTTATGCCCCACATACCTAATTAATTCAATTCATATTCTTTTGATGTCGCAAGCTATCGAGAGAATGAGGTTAGGGAGCAGACGAGTTTATTACTGACGCCATTCACTTTACCAGGACGATAAATAATACAATGTTACTATGCAATACAACTTACAACTTTATACAGCCACATAGAATACAAGCTTTGCCTTAAAAGCCTACATGTAAAACTATACTGAAACATTTCCCTAATTACTGTGGAGTATATTATTTTTAAATTAGCTTTATAATAATGAAATACCTAAAAAGATCATTTTTAATTGATCCAATTTCATCATAATGTCTTAAGTTAGATTTAGTTTCGACGTTGTAGTTCTTAGCTTAAACATACCGTTAAGCACTTAGGTTGTATTGTGCTTGTATTTGATATACATATTTAGAAGTTAGTATGTTGCAAAATCTTGAATAAACATTTTCTTGAGACATTTTCACTTAGAATATCTGGTATAGCGATGCAAAGCGCCTTACAAACATTTATGGCAAACATTCACAAGAGAAACTATTCGCTTCAGTGCTGTTAGGAAGACATTTTGTGGTTTCAGTTGAAACTGCTCGAACTTGCACATTTTAGGCAAAGATTGTGGTGCTATTAAAATTATTACTTAACAGTCTTTTGACTATGTTTTAATGCCTTAATATATTATATAATATTTACCATGTATTTAGCAATAACAAAAGAATAAGGCTGTTGACAGATTAAGTTATTAGCTCATATGACTAATATCGATTAATTCTTTAGTGTTATTTTTATTGTCTTATTGAAAATATTTACTCCTTGTGATAATTCAGAAATTAAAATTGACTTCTGATGTTGTTTTAATTAGTAAAAATAAAAACAAAATTTATGCAATATTTATTATCAACAATGACCTTTGATAAAATAGTTTAAAATAACATAATCAACGTAACAAAATAGCAATGATTCGATTAGTCAACATTAAAAAGATAACAAAAATCCCCTTTTTAGTCATAATTGACCAATGATACAAAACGCAGTAAAATATTATATAGAGTTTAGTATAAGTCCGTCATATACGTTCGTCTTTGTCAGAAAAAAAATTGAATAAATACAACAACCAGACCAACAACTAACTTTCAAAATAGAAAGGTCAAGAATATTGAAAAATAACTGTAATTATAAGATATCGTCACTATGAAGTTGGATATATTTCTTCTTCTCGTGTTTACACTGTCTCTATTTTTCGTGGGCGACGCTCGTCAGTACAGCAGATGTGAACTGGTGCGCCAATTAAGGAATCATCGATTTCCAACAAACAAATTGAGACAATGTACGTACGTAAAATATGCCTTATTCATATGCTTAAATACTGATTCTGATTTTTGTTTACGAATTAATACGGCGAGTTGAAAGAATTTTAAATGTTATTATCTCATCTATACTAATATTCTAAAAGGGAAAGACTTGATTGTTTGTTTATCTGCATTGAATAGGCTCTTAAAATACTGACACGATTTAAAAATTTTATCAACCTCGGGTGACATAGGCTATATTTATAATTAGATTTTATATAAATTTCGTGCGGACGAAGTCGCGAGCAACTGCTATTATTTACTAATTAACAATTTACAACATAACCAAACTCAATTACCGTTATAAAACACTAAATTACAAAACCAAATAAAAACTTTTTTGCTAAGATTTTATAAAATAAAGCCACTGATCTCAATAAATGGATAGGCCATTGCTTGGAAATGATAGCTTTTGCGGTCGTTCCGCCTTGAACGCGCTTGTTGAAATACCTGACAGTTAATTCTAACTCTTTTATTAGTTCGAATCCTCACCACCGTTGTCGACGGCAACCGTAAGCGCCAAAATAGCGTAAATCAAATATTCACAAATCATCACGGTTTATAGCCTATCCGTATATAGAGATCAGTGAACAAATTTACTAAAGAAAAATAATTAGCCTGCCTGTAGTACTTAACTTTTTTCTTTCTACCAAATCCTTTTTGGTTACTATAAAAATATAAAACCTTCATTGTTTTAGGGGTGTGCCTGATCGAGACTCACAGCGGCGGCCGCACAGACCTCATCAGTAGAACCAACAGATCGGCATATCGCGAGTACGGACTGTTCCAGCTCAGCGACAGATTCTAGTGCAGCAAGAGCGACCTTCCGGGGAAGGACTGTAACGTAACTTGTGCTGGTAAGTGGAAGATTGCAATAGTCTCCCAGTATTTCACTTTTAAGATTATTTGTGTTTGATAATGGTGTAAAGAGATGTCCACACGTTTTTAAAGAGTCTCAGCTCAAAACTAAAACTAGACAAAACTTTTTACTTATTAACTAACTTCTGGGTTGATTGTTAAAAGGTCGGCCTAATCTAGACTTCCCTAAATAATACTAAAGCATAGACGTCTAACGATATGTGTAGGATTCCTACCACCTTATACTTATATGTACTTTTTGTTTCAGACCTCCTTACAGATGACATCACAAAGGCGGCCAAATGCGCTAAAAAGGTGTACAGACGTCACGGATTCACCGCGTGGTATGGTTGGAGCAAATGCCAGGGCTCACTGCCTGATATAAGCGCCTGCTAGAAAATACATTGTGTAGTCATCTTCTGTATAATCTTAAATAAACTATTATAAATTGTTATTAAAAAATTTCCTTATTATTGTTACAACACATATAAAATATAATATCTTTCCGTATTTGAAAAAAATGTAGTTTTTTTAATTTATTGTTTCGATCTCCTATTACCACGTACCTTTTCTCTTTTGAAATTTGATACTTATTCCACAAGTCCTTATCGCCGTGTTTCATTTAAAGTCTAACTTAGTTAACTGTCTCATACAAAACGTGGTTTTCTGAAACCAAATTTCCCGTTTAAAACATATAGTTGTCTCTGTTTTGTCAAAGATTATGAGAGGGATGACGATATGTTTTATACAATTGAGGTCTCTGAAACATACGGTAAAAGCCTTATAACTAAGCTGGGGCATCTAAACGCTGAAGCTTCTTTGATTGCTGTAAACTAAATAATGGCAACTCCAATTTATCACAAAGAAGAAATAATAAATGCATATACAAAAACATTTATTTATGAAGCTATATTGATATACATTTTTAATAAATTCTTCATATTGATTATTAAAATATACGTTTATTGCTCTTAAGCACTAAGAGTTAACATTTATTTCTTGCAGGAGCTTATATCAGGCAGTGGCTTTCCTTGGCATTTGTTTTTCCATCCATACCACGCGTTGAAGCCATGTCTCTGATATATCTTTTTAGCACAAGTTGCAGCTTTCGAAATATTATCAGTCACAAGCTCTGAAATGGAATAAAAAAAGATAATAAAAAAAACAGATGACGAAATATAAAATGTTGTGTAACATGTTTAACTAACGTTTGCACGTAACGTTGCAATCCTTTCCTGGCTTATTAGTTGTACTACACCAATATCTGTCGTTGATCTGGAATAGACCATAGTCCCTAGATCCGTCGTAATTCGGTTTGCCTATGATGTCTGTGCGTCGAGAGCTCTCACTTTCCACCAGACATACCCCTGCAAATAAAATACTTAAAATTTACTGTTGTATTTTTTATATAATTTATTCGACGAAATAGCAAAGCGTTCTTAAATGGTAGTAGACTATAAGAAGGCACAGTTAATCTAAAAGTTAACTTCATTAATCGTTAATTAAGAAGTTAACTTCGATAATTGTGAAAGCGTTAAATCCTCCTAAAATTAACGATTAACAGATTGACTAGTAATTACCCATCTATAAGTAGGCCAATATGAAGTAAAAAAAACATACCAAATTGATCTTTAATTTAATTTCCGTAGTGTTAAATTAGAAGCCCACTGGATAAGAATAAAACTCAAAGAACAAACACAAAGAACCTTTATGTTGATTCATGAAGACCTACATACATACCGCAATGAATATCTGTTGGCTTACAAAGATAGTAAATATGACTCAACGAGACTCATGCGCATTAATCGTGAATCATATATTTGTTTACAAGTTCGGAATCCGGCAACCTATCAAATATTATTTTCGAAAGTAATAAGAAGTATTTAATACTTGTTATTATTATTTTCATATATCTATTTTAGTTTACCAAATTATCTAAAACTCATTAAAAAATAAACTATTCCAAGTTAAAAAGGACATGACCAGGATTAACATATTTTTGGACCGACTTTACAACGTCATCATCAGTTTACTATACGTCCCCACTGAGTGATAAGGCCGGTCAACCGCGTCAACTGTGTGGATCTTTGAAATTCTTCTTAGGTAAGTGCTGATTCGAACCCAAAATCTGCAGATTGCAAGTCATTTGCCTAACCCCTGAGCCACCGATGCTCTTGAATTTACAACAATCAAACAATATTATAACCTAACCAAATTATTTATCACATCGCTTTATAATCAAGCAATTTAGCTTCGGCTTCAAGTCAAACTGCAACAAAATTTACTTACAATCTCTCATTTTATTCTCGGGGAATCCATTCTGCCTGAGCTGACGTACCAATTCGCATCTAGACAGCTGTTTGCCTTCGCATTGGCAGAGTAATACAAT